GGCCACAATCTGCACCTCCATAACTTCTCTTTCCCCAACTGTCCCCTCCACCCCTCTGCACCTGGCTCCCAGAAAAGTAGCCTTGCTTCACTTCCCAGAGAAGATACAAGCTGTTAGATAAGAAATCCCTAAAGGTCAGCCACCAGACCTGAAGAACCAGCTGCCCTCACCCAACCTCCCCACCTTCCCTTCCATTCCAGTAGAGGAGGTGTCCAGGGCCTCTCCAAGGCCAATCTTTGGGGTTCCAACCCTCCCTTCAAGCACCTCACCCATCAATCAGTCTCTCTCTCTCCCACATCACAGACTCCACCCTCTCCACTGGCTCCTGCCCATCTGCATATAAGATAGGCTCAAGTCTCTCCCACTTAAAAAACAAAACAAAATCTCCCTTGGTTCCCCTTCTTCTTCTAGCTTACACTCCATTTCCTGCTCCCTTCATTACCTAACTTCTCGAAAAGTTGACTCCACTGTTTCCACTTCCGCCCTCTTCAGCACCCACCTTCTGACACTGATCTTGCTAAGATGACCAGTGCCCTCCTTGGTGGTAAGCCCAGAGGACTTCCAGATGCTGTAACACAGTCAATTCCCCTCTCTTTCTGGAACTATCTCCTACATGTCCTCTCACCTCTCCTGATGCCCCTTCTCAGCAGCTTCTCACCCATCATTTGTTAAAGAAAGACTGAGGTTACCAGAATCCAGCCCTTGGCCTCTTCCCACGCTGCACCTTCTCCCCATAGGTGCTCACCAGCTCCCATGGCTTCCTTTCCCATCCTCCTGACACTGCTTCCTAAGTAAAAAGCTCCTCCCAGATTATCTTTCTCCTGAGCTCCAGAAACAAGACCAACCACCCCTGGATAACTCTGCTTGACACCCCCAGACTCCTCAGACCCAGCATCTCCAAACATGAATGCAACCCATTTGTCCCCCAAATCTGCCTCTCATAGGCATAGGAATAGAACCACCGCCCACCCTGATGCCAGTCAGAATCACGGAATGGAGTTTTTCCCATGATTTATAGTGATACCAAGGTGGCTACCCTGTGGAGGCTGCCCCTCTCCCCTGCAGGTCCACCAAGTGATTCTCACATTGGTATCCAGAAGCTGCAACTAAGAGAGCCAGATGGAGCAGCTCCCATGAGGAGGGTCCTGCCATGACACTCTCCAAATCCAGAACCCAAGGCTCCTGTGCCCAGACACTGACAGCTGCCGCCAGCCCCTCAGCCTCCTCTTCCTGGGTCTCAGATCCTCACATGTTTACATTTATACGTAGGAATTCATTCCTCCTGGTTACAGTCCAGTCTTGTGGCTCAAGGATCCTTTTCTCTCTTTAGGTGACTTTGCCGAACTCTGCTCTGATCAAGCTATGTTGATGCCACAGTGTAACAAAGCTCCCAGGGCAATCCTGTGCCCCCTTTCCCTAGTGCATGAAGGGCGCCTCACTGACACCCCACGTCTGGCTGTGGTGGGGCATTAATGCCTCCCTTTCCCGTGCCCATGGTGCCAAGACAGCCTCTCTACCTCTCACTTCTCTCTGTCTCGCTGCCTCACTCCACCAAGATCTGCCTGTGTCGCTGCCTCCGCCTCTTCCAGGTCTCCCTAAATCATCTGAAGTCTCTGCCAATCTAGTCACCACCCAAAGCCAAAGTGATCTTTCCACCACATGAATTTGAGCTTGTCACTCCCCTGCTGGTCCCCCATTGCTCTCAGAATACAGTAAAGCCTTCAGACGTGGCCTACAAGGTCCTATGTGATCTGCCCCTACTCACTACCAGCTTCATCCTCTACATTCTGTCTCCCTCTCATCACTCTAGCTGTGCAGAGCTGGTAACATAGACACATATGAGACTTCGAGAAACAAACGTTTGTTGAACAAACATTTCCTAAACACGCAACACTCTTTCCAGCGTCTGTGCCTTTGCGCAGGTAGTGTGTTCCACTCTTCCTTCTGCACGTCCACAGGCTGCTACTTCCAGATCGCATAGGTCTCACCTCAGCATCCCCTCCCTGGGCCCAAGGGTCTGGAGCACTGAGCTGTGTTATTTCTTTCCTACAGACCGGGGTCCTCTAAGGCCACCTCTAGTCTTGTTTCTTCATCCTCTGGCCTCAGGATAGGGCCAAGTCCAGATTTATTGATCAGACAGTGCTCATTGATTGGGAAAAGAGAAACTTCATCAGGCCCCCAAAGACTGGGTTGATTTGGGAGGAAGGAAGAGGAGGAAGGAAGCAAATGCCTGAGGGTGTTTTGTAGCAAGAAAACCTCTACAATGCTTTAGCACCTGACATCCATCTGCCCAGCAGTTTGAAAAGCACCTGTACTTGATCTCTTCTGATCCTCTTCTAACCCAGTGAGGCAAAAAGGCTTGTCTCCATGTTATTGACAAGGAAAGGGAAGCCCAGAGAGGAGGCACAGTGAAGGCCCATGATCAACATCTGCTGAGTGAAAATGAGCCAGAGCCCCAGACCTGGGCTCTTTACTGCACAGCACAAGGTCAAGGGAACGGTGGCAGCAATGAGTGGGGCCAGAAAAGAGGCCAATGTAGTCTCAGATCACCTTTCCCAGACTGTGAGCTGGCATTTTCCCCTCCCATCCCCCACCTCCAACACAGGCACACAGACACACACAGGTCAGATTCATGGGCCCCTACCAGGAGCCCCAACCTCAGACCAACAATATGGCTGAGCACCTCCTATGTGCAAAGTCCTCCCTGGGCTCTGAGTGGAATGAAGGGGACCCTACAAGAATGGGACATGACCCCGCCTCAAGGGGACACATTCTGAGAATTGAGGATCACAGGTAGATGTTTCCAGGGCCTCTACACTGTAACTGGAGATGAGAAGGGAGCAGTTAATCCTGATGGACAGCTCTTCCCAGCCCCGGGCCCTTCCTTCCACCACCAGTCCTCCTCCTTCCCGTCCTATCCCGTCATTGCCAGGCCCAGCATTCAAACATCAGTCATTCTGTATGGACTGATCGTGTCCTGAATGGAAAGGCACGAGTCCTGGGCCCTGCCTCAACTCAGTTCCTGAGCTACCACATGGACATAAGCAAACACCTTGCCTTTCTGAACCTCAGTTTCCTTGTCTTGATGTTAGAAAAAATAATCCCTCTCTTCCATCCTCATTTCTCAGGCTCAGGTCTGGCTCCAACTGAGAGCAGAAGTGCCAAGACCTGGAGGAATGCAGAGGTGTGGTGTCTGCCAAGGCTCCCAGGAAACCTTTGTAGCTCCCAAGAGCAGCAACTTCTGTAGCCCTGCCCACCACTCCTGGCACCAAGGCCCTTCAGTTACTGTGTTAGAGCCAAGAAGCCAGAGCTGAGCTGTGTTCCAGGCCCTCCACACACTCTCAATGTGAAAGGCAGGGTCATTTGGGAGAAAGAGGGAAGCCAGTTCTGACATGGGGATGAGGGAGCCAGGTCCCTGTCCTAGGGAAGACCATGGGCTAAGGGCAAGCCCAGGCTTGATGGAGGCAAGTAGAAGTGGAGAGGACACGAGAGGGAAGCGATTGAAGGTCTCCTTAAGTGCCTCTCATACCCCCTTTAGGGTTAGACCTCAACCTTCCCATGACCTCCATGCGGACTTAGCAAAGCCTCTCCCAAACCCCTCCTGGTCCCTCCACTTGTCTTCTCCATGACTCTGTCTGCTCTGTCGACTCCCTGCACTCGAACATTCACTGTTTGTTTCTTTTGGTGATGCCTGCTCTGTGCCAGGCTTTGTGCAGGACCCTGAGGGTACAGTGGTGAATCGGACCAGATCTCCATCCTCCAGGTCTAGTGAGGAAGATGAACCAGTAAACAAAAGATGACAACCCAATGGGACAAGTGGTGAGATACAGAGCATGGGGCTGATGCTCAATCCTGGTTAGGCACCCCACCTCGCCTGGGGCAGGGAAGGCTCTGCTATCTGTTTTCCCCTCTAGACAGGAAGCTCCTTGAGAGCAGGGCCTGGGTCTAATTCATCTCCCAGACCCACCCTTTGCTTTGCTGAGTGTCTCCAGGATGCATGTAGGTTACCAGGCCATCCTGAGAGGGTCATTATTTGAAGGGGCAAGAATAAGCCTGGGCAGTCCTCACCGGAGGTCCAGCTCATTCCCAACATCAACCATGGAGCAGAGGCAATTCCCTAGACTGGAAATGGGAAAGTGTACTCAGGAGGTGGAAGAAATCATCATGCCTCTCTCTGAGCCTTAATCTCTGGCTTCCCAACCCTGGCTGCAGATCAAAACACTTGGGGAGGTTTGCAACTTCAGACTCTTGGTTCCAAGATGGTAATTAGGATCTCCAGGGGCCAGGGGCCAAGGAATCTGCTTCTCCCAGTTGGTTCCAAGCAGGTGTCCCTTGCCCTGTGTTCAGTAATCTCTGGTCCAGATCCCCATTATGGCAGGGAGATAAGAGGTGTTCCTGACATTGGGTGCTAATGTGGGCCCCACCACGCTGAAATAACTGGGCAGAACAAGCCAGGATCTGAAGCCAGGAGATGCCACGGTTCCCAAGCCAGCCCAGAGGCATGACAGGGAGAACCCCACCTTCAGGGCACCAACTGCTTAGACACTCGGGGAGGTCTCTCAGGTGACAGCACTCATCTCTGCCTTCACTTTCCTTTTCAGTCTTAAAAATGGAAATCTTTACACTGCACAGAACAAAGGGGGCGCTGGTTACCCTCTAAACAACATTGCCCAGTTCTATCGGACTGTCCAGGGGATTTCTCCCCAACACTCTTGCTGAGCCCTTAACACAGCGTTGCCTGAACCTTGGCCCTCAGAATGATGGGAAGGAGTCTGTGACCTGCTTTGGCCCCAACTTTGAAGTGCTCCCCATCTGAGGCCAGCTCAGAAGGCAGGAGTGAGGGCGAGATCAGTGGAAAGCTGAACGGGAACCATGGCTCCAGGACGTCATCCTCCTGCCCAAACATAGGGTCTCCCTCCATGGCTCCAGGGGATTAGGCCTGATTCTCTGAAGCAGAGGAGGCCATTTTCTTTCTCTGTCCCTCTCTCCCCTCCACGTACCTCGAGGGAGTGCCCGAAGATCCAGTGGGTGGGGGGCCCTGGGAAGCTGTCCATAGCCCTGGCCAGCTTCTGCCTCTGCAGCAGCAGACTAAGGAGCTTGAGGAAGCCTAAGTCCAAGATCAGTCCAGAAGCCCCCAGGCCCAGGCGGACACTCAAGGAGAGCAAGACGGGCACCATGGCTGGAGATGTAGCCACCTAGTCTCTGGCCTGCCTCCTGCTGTCCCAGGTTCCCTTATACTCTAGACCCAGGCACCTGCCAGCTCCCACCCCTAGCCACGACCTGCAGCCAGCAGCAGCCCGGGCTAGGCTGAGCCCCACAGCGCGGAGACAGCAGCCTCAGGAGCCACAGACAACAGAGGAGACAGAACTCAGCTGAAGAGAAACCAGGCGGTGGACTTCAAAGAAACCAGGCAATGGGTGTCTGGCCTTGGTTCCTTGGAGGAGCACACAGAAGGCAATTCTTGGTGTGATCATCACCTAATAATGACTGCCTTTTCATCCAAGCATGTTTGTTTCAGGCACTTTCTAGACACTCTCTCATTTAACCCAAACAAGCAGGTCATAAGTACTTACTCTTTATACCCATTTTCCAGATAATGAGACTGAGGCTCAGCTTGCCTGTACTTTCTTACAAGAAAGCTTCCACTGTCCCCATCAGTATGGACCACTGGGTGGGATGCATTTATGCCCGGCTCATGATGCTCTGAGTCCTTTGTTGTGAGACATTTTCAGGGACAAGATTCTAGCCCCAGAAGGGAGATCCTGGGTCAGAAAGAAGCCAACTCCACCCGCAAGACCACAGTACAACCTTGACGCTTAGGAACACAGACTATTACTTTGAGGGTGACAACGAGAAATCATCACATTCAATTACTCCTGGATTGATGGAGCGAGACACTTGGGCCTAGAGAGGGGCAGGGAATAGCCCAAAGGCTCACAGCAGGGCAGTGGCAGCTCTCAACTCCCTATCCCAGGGCTCTGTTGAAGAACAAGCTTGGCCCAGGCCCCAGGCTTGTCTGGCAGAGTCTGCGGTTTCTCCCTCCAGTCTTGGGTGGTAACAGTCAGCATCCCACGGGAAACAGAATTCACTGCTGATGCTTCAGATGAAGAGACTTGGATGCAGGGCTCCTTTCAGAGGGGAGGCAGAGTCGGGAATCAAACAAGGTGTGATGGGGCATCCAGAGAGGAGCAACAGCAGAGGCCCCTCGACATCCGTAGGCTGAAGGAACAAGAGAGGAAACAGCATTGCTGGAGCCTGGTGGAGGCAGCTATTGCCGGAGAAGGGAAGCCGGAACAGGGAAGGAGCAGAGAAGAAATGTGCCAGCCTTTCTTCCCCCACCCTCCAATCTCTTCCTGGTGTCTCCTATCCGCCAAACCCAACCAGCAGTGAGAGGGCAAGGGAGGCTCGGGCAGTCAGTGTTGGGAAATCAGCTTCCCAGCAGGGCAGAGAGAGCAAAGGCTGGGCCTGGCATGGAGGTGGCAGGGGGAAAACTAGCGAACAGGTGGACTTGGAACTCAATCTCAGAGCTCAGATCACAGGTGCGACTCAGAGAATGGTAAAGTGTCAACATGGCCTCCTCCTCCTCTGTTGGGGAGACACCACACCCCTTCCTACCCATAGGCAGAGGAGGCAAGATGACAACACTCCAAGGGACTTCCTGAAATTCTGCATTCATGCTTCATGTCCCTAGATCGAGACTTGAGTGCCCCAGGAAAATGCAAGTCATCCAGGTCAGAGTAAGGGAGCAGGAAGAGCTATCAGCAGATGTCCATGCTTTACGGTGAATTTGTTTATCAGCGTGGTCTCAGCCCAGCGGGGTAATGAAGGCAGTGTTTAGGGGAGAGCCTCAAGGAGCTCCCACCTGATGAAAGAGCCACGGCTCCTGGCAAGGACCATTTAGGACTCCCCTGGGAAGTGAATAGGGCTAGCCTAGAAGGTGGTAAGTCGGTGTTGTGGACCTCGGTTGAATGACTCCCAGCGTTCATTCCCTGCTTCCCCTGTCCAACCGGTCTGCAAATTCGTTGGCTTTGGGTGCAGTGGGACTGGCCTCACCAACTCCAGCATGGCCCATATTTATTCAGGACAGTCTGCACTGAGCTTGCCCACAGTGACGTTTCAAGGGTCGGCACGTGACCAAAGTCAGTCAATCAGGGTGATTAAAATTCTATTTCAGTCTCTAATTTAAGCTCTCTGGAAGCAGACTCTCTCTCCAGGATTGGATTTGAACCTGGAAGCATGTGTTCTCATGAGCCATCTGTGTGGGGAGAGTCAGACGAGAAGGTACTCCGTGCCAAAGTACCTGAACTGAGAACTAGACAGAGAGAAACTGAACACTCATCACATTGTTCAAACTCCTGGATCAAGCTTCACCTGGCGCTAGGAGTGCCTCCAAATATTTGAATTATGTGAGCAAATGAATCCTCCTTATTGTTCAAATTCAGTTTGAGTTAGGTTTTTTGTTACCTAAAACCAAAGGATTCCTAAGTGGTATACTGGGGAAAGCCCAGGAAAGTGGGCAAGGCTTGGTTAAGTTGGGCTGAAACCTGTTTAGGGAGCTAGCCTGCAACAAATTGAATGGAATTACCTGGGAAGGGACAAGTGGGAAAGACATGGTAGCCTCTGAGCAGTGGGGCTAGCCTGGGAAGTGTTGAGAGGGCTCATAGAGGAGCTCTAAGTGAGACTAACCTCAGCAAAGCTCCCTTCAGAGGGAGCAAGAAACGATCTGGTTATGGAGAAATTGAAGGCCATGGCTTGGAGGTGAAGCAAACATCTGAGGTATATGAAGCAGAAACCACACGGGGAGGAGCGGGTCAGGACATTGGAATGTCAAGAGCAGAGTTAACATGAGCCTCAAACAGAACAGAGGGGTGAGGAGACTGGACTTTGTCTTCCATGCTGACAGGAGCCATGGAGGGATCTTAAACAGAGGAACAAAGGTGGTCAGAGGTATGTTCCAGAAAGATTTCCCCCTTTGTGTGTGCAGTGGCTCTGAGCTGGCCTGGTGTGGAAGGGGCCGGGAGCCTGGGTTGGCAATCAGGAAGAGGAAGTCAGGGGGAGGCCCAGCAGGGTGGACATTGCTTATGGCGTTTGAGGTCCTGCAAACCTTCTCCTGCCACTCCCAGCACTCATGGTCTATTTGTCACACACCCTGCTCTCCACTCCCTGGCTGGAATCTGACAGTCATCCCCACTTCTAGAGCTGAGGACAGGTCATCATGTGGCCAGAATCAGAGACTGGCCAGCCGCCAACTCCCGGGTCCTGATCCTACCAGCTACCCCTGAGGCCACCTTGGTAGTGTGATTCTTGGAAGCCAAGATGTGCCTTGCTGAAGCTTTCACCCACTGGCCTAAAGTCTACCCTCAAGGGCCCAGTGGAAAATGTCAGCCATAAGGAAAAGCTTATAGATGAGCCCCAGTGCAGTAGTGTGCATGTCAGGAAGATGCACACCGTCAGACTCTGCATTTATCCAAATGCTTTCCAGTTCTCCTCCAGAAAGCATTCTTTCACACCCCTCCTCCACTTCAGAAACACCAGTTAGAGCCAGTCTTCTGACTCTGAAGACTTTGCCTGCAACTCTTCTTGGATTTGTTGACTTTCTCCCTCATGGCATGTTTCAGAGTGTTTGTCCTGTCCTGAAATCTTCCCATTCTGCTGCAAGCCAGAGCCTGAGCTTGTCTTTCCCCTTCTTTGCACGGCTGAGCTGAGACAGGCAAGATACCAGCACTCAGGGAATCAATGACCAGGCGCATATAAGAAAGAATGGACCACCTTTGAGGGTTGTGCAGGCACTGAGGTTTGCAGGGTTGAGAGAACACTGGCAATGTGCACCCACCATACCGCCCTGTGCATACCCACCCACAACTCCATAAACCTTCAGAGGATGGTCCATGTCAGGGTCATCTCTGCCACCCCAGCACCCAGCACTCAGTAGGAACTTCATAAATATTTGTTCGGTGAATGGATGTTGAAGAGATTGGCTATTATATTGGGGGTTGTGGGGAGGAGAAGGTGAGGAAAGGTTGACTGGCTAATGCAAAATATACTGGAAACGCCAAACTAGTGTCCTTCTGGACAGCACATTTGGCACCTCTTGTGGCTGGGTCCCAGCAGCCACTGCCTGATGAGGAGCCCAAAGCTCACCATCCTCCTCAACCTGACACCCACCTCTATTTCCCAGGGATGTCAGGCACACTGAGGGAGTGCTGAGTGTGACTTCCTGATAGGGGAAAGGAGGGCCCAGATTATATCCAGGAGGAGAAGTGTTGTGTCCAAAACAGTCTAGATCTTGGCTGCACGTGGGATCTCCTGGGCAGCTTTAGAAATGTCTGATGCCCTCAATGCCTCCCTGTCCTCTGGGCTTGTCCACTCCAGTGTCTCCTGCTCACATGACCTTCTTCAGGGGATGGGGGGCATCTGGAGAGCAGGCAATGCTCTGTGCACATGGTAAACTTGGTGCACAGGTGAGGGATCAGTGCCCAAAATGGGTGAGGGGAGGCGGGGGAGATGGCTTCCCCCGACCCCCGCATGTGGAACTTCCCGATCTTTGTGGTCTGCCCAGCTCCTTCCACCTAGGCTGTACTAGCCCATGAGCAATCCCAACCCGCTTTGGCTGAGTATCTTGCTCCTGAAAGTGTGAGATGTAGGAGAGGGAGGTGTGGATGGTGTAGATGGGAGGGCAGGAGGGCAGTGAGGAATGTGAAGTGGCTGGGCTGGGCAGGAGTTGGTCATTCTGCAGGCTCTGTGCTGAGTGGAGGCTCTGGAGACGGTAGGGGCCTCCTTCCAAGGTGCTCTGATCCACCCAAGGATGGCTTTGCCACGAGGACAGCTAACTAAGGATGCAGCATGATGGGGGAGGGCATGTCTCAGAATCCCTGCTCTTCCAAGGGCACCACCTGGAATAGTGGGATCCTTCAGGTTCCAGGAAAAACTGTGAGCCGTGTGTCACTCTGAAGAAAATGAGTAAGAGATGTGTCCCTGGGAAGAACACTACAATCTTGGCAAACGGGAGGAGAAAGGGAGGTGAGGGAAGAGAACAGGCAAAACCCAGCAGACCTGAGTTACAGGAAGGGAAGGAAGGCCTGTCAGTGCTGTGCAGGTCAACACCAAAGAAGAGGACTGCCCCCATCTGCATGCAAGAGGAGGGGCCAGGAGTGGTGCCACTTTTCCTCTATCAGTCACCAAACGGACTCATTCGTGCATCAACACATGTGTACTGAGCACCTACCACAGGCCAGAAAGTCTGTTGGGACTGAAATAAAATGATAAGACAGACAAGGAGCTCACATTCTAACATGGTTCTGCCAAAAGAAAGACTTCTCCCTGTGTTGCCAGGAGCCTGAGTCCAGAACTCAGGCATTCCCCTGCCCGCCAGGTGACCCTGCGCATGGGAAGATTAGTTGCATATAAGCTCTATCAAATGAAGACCATTGGGTGGGAGCCAGGAAATGCAGGTTCTGGTTTCAAGTCTGTCTCTGGCTCACTGGGTGACCTCAGATGACACCCTCTGCTCTCAGTGCCTCAGCTGCCCCATGTCAGTGAATCAGATGGCATCTAGGGGTTCACAGAGCTGTGCTGAGGATCCTGAGATTATGGCAGTGCTCTGTGCTCTCCTGTGTGCAAACTGTGCACGGCTGCTCTGGCAGCTTTTATGCCCCGTCTCACATCCTCTCTGCCCACCTTTTTGCTCTGACCATTTCTGCAGTAGCCAGTTGCACCCACTTGTAGCCTGTTGGCACCTCACCTCACTTCACACCTCTTGTGCTCTGTCCCAGGGCTTCCCTGCTGCTGCCAGCAGGATAGCTGTAGGAGGCTGCCTAGACATTCCAGCACAGGCATACACACCTGGTAGGACCAGAGAGCTGACACCCCTGAGGCAACCTTTGACCAGGGAACAACAGGAGCTAGTAAATAATAAACACTCTCCTCCCCACGCCCCGGGCAAGCAGTTCTGAGGTGCACTTTACACAGTTCCTCCAAAGGTCCCCAAGCATGACTGAGACTGGTTGCCTCTAGTGGTAACCAGCTCAATGACACACCTTAGATCGACTTTGCCTCCTTCCTGTTCACCCTTCCCAGGCACCACCCTCCTCCTGTTTTCTGGGTCAACTACCTGCTAATGAGCCTCTTCCTCAAGCTCTGCATTTTGGGGGAGCCCAAGCTAAGAAGTATGGCTATGTGACTCCTGGTCATAAGACTCTGTGTGGATGGGGGTTGCTGGGGTGTCAGAGATCAGAAGCTGAGGCAAGGGGAGGAGTTACATGCTGATGCTAAATGTAGGTGCTAATCCCATTTTATTGCACTGATTGGTGCAATGGGTCCTGAGTCAATGGGAAACTCTAACCACCTGGTCTTGGGGAATCATGAAGCTTGGGAACCCCTACATAAAAACCCAGTTTCCCAGATACCAAGAAAAGAGATATGGGTATTTCGCAATTGCTTCAAAACCCATAGAGGGAAGGGATGTGTTTGCCACATCAGAGAAAACTTCATGACATTCCTAAATGACCTATCTCCTTGTCTCTCTCCCTCCCCTTCTCTCCTTCCTTCTCTTCTTTCCTCTTTGTCCTTCCCTCTCCCAGCAGGGATGACGACTCAGCACTTTTCCTGATTGGCTCCCCCTGGGGCGCAGTTAGACCAGTTGGCAGTGTGGCCTCAGGCAAAGAGGACTCTGTTCCCCTCTGGAGGAAGCCAGGCAGGAGGGCATGTTTCCCATGAAGGTGGGCTCTGGTACGTGGACTCTTGGCCTTTGTCTTTTGGACAGCTTATCCCATGAGATAGAAGTGCTTCAGAGTAAACATCACTGCCCGGCTGGTGCCAAGGCCTGGGTATGGGCAAAGTGGAGGGAGACGGCTCAGGCTGTGGAATGTGGGCAGAGCAGGGCAGGATCAGGAGGCCTGGAAGCTGGCCATGTTCCACGCAGGCAACAGCCAGTAACGCAACCAGGATTCTGCCCTTGGACAAACAGAACTTCTAGCTCAGCCCGCAGTTGCCAGCTAAAGACCACCTCCCCCAGCCTCCCATTCAGCTAAAGAAGGTGGGACTAGGTTTTGTGACTAGACTTTGGCAGAGCTGCGAGCACAAGTGATGTGTACAACTTCCAGCTAATATCTCAAAAGGAAAGGTGCGTGCCTTCCCACTCCCTTTATCTCCTCCCACTGGCCCGAAGGCAGATGTGGTGGCAGGAGCTAGCAGCTATCTTAGATCTTTAGTTGAAAGCCACGTGTTGAAGGTGGAGAACAAGCTAGAACACCTGGATGCCTGATGACCTTGCAGAGCAACCCACCCGACCAGCTCTGCACCACCTTCCTGCTCAAGACCTTCATGTGACAGAGAAAGACGTTGTTGTCTTGTGTTAGCTTCTCCATTGGGAGATCTTTTTGTTGCAGTAGGCTGTTAGTGATCGGACCGGTGCTTTCTGCTCATTTCCTACCCATCCAGATAGTCAACATCACGTTGCTTTCACTTGGCAGAGACAACAGACTTCCACTGTTTGTTTCAGGTGGTTTAAAATGTCCAGCTATGGACCACAATTTTCCTCTAGGAGGCACATGAGAAAAAGCAGGGGAGCTCCCAGCACCATCTTTCAGGTCTCAACTTATATGTCAGCTTCTCGAAGATGATTTTCCGGTCAACCCCATTTAAAGTAAGTTCCCCTGGACTACACTCCAGCTCAGCCCACTCATTTCCTTCACGGCTCTTAGGACAACGTGGAATTATCTGTTTCTCATCCATCTTCCACTTTAGAACACAAGCCCCATGAGGGCAAGGGGCCATGTCTGTTGATACACTGATTCCCTAGTGCTTGTCACAGTATCTGACAGGGAGTAGCACTTAAACATCAAATGAGAGATGAATCTGGAAATCATTAAGAAATTCCCTGCATAACCAGAGACACTCACAAGTAGAATATACAACTATGTACTGGGGGGCTTTGGGGAGAAAAAAAAAAAAGATTGGCAACAGATGTTAGCTTAGGTGCCAATGCTTAAAAAAAAAGAAAGAAAGAAATTCCCATTCGTGCTTCACAAGAGTTGTTAGCACCAGGAAAATCTGTAGAATAGATTGATAATATTCCACATGAAGGCTTTCTTATCCAAGAATCAAAACCCAGAAACCATAAAGAAAAGTTTACATATCTGACTTCATGAAAATTTAGAAGTTATTTCCATATGGTAACAGCCTCCATAAATGCATTTTTAAAAAAGGAATAAATGGGAAAAAATTACAAAGAAAAGTTACAAGCAAGGATTACTATCCACAATATATAAATAACTCAAGGATATCAATAAGAAAAAGACAAACATCTCCATAGAAAAATAAACATAGATAATGTACAAATCACAGAGAACAAAACAAAGAAACACAAATAGCCAATAGGCATGTTTTTAAAACTACAAATAACTTAAATATCCACTAATAGGAAAATAGTTAAATTATACTACATCCATCTTATAGAATATCATGAAGCCATGATTAGGAATGAGGTGTATTTTTATTAAGTGATAAAAGCAAGAACAACATAGATACGAGCCCATCTATAAGAATACAGACAGACATATGTACATATGAATGTACAGGGAAAAGTTTGAAAGAATGCACGCCAAACTATTCTGCTTTAGGAAAAGCTGTAGAATTGGTCAGGGCAGGGAGGTGTGGGCTACGTCAAGTGGGGATTTTTACTGTTTACTCTATATACTTTACTAGTGTTGGAAATCTCTTACTATAAAGATACATTCACCTTTTGTGTAATTTTTAAAAAGTATTTTTAAAAACAACAGAAAATATATGGAAGTCACCTAGCAAAATTCTTGGAATCTAGCATTAATAGTAGCCAGAATAAAACAGAAAAGATCTAAAAACCTCCCAAAGTCATACAGAAACTTATTTCTGTTGGAAATGTTTTTGGAGAACGTGCAGCTCCACAGAGACCCCATCCCAGCCCCTAGCCCTCCCACCACACTTTGATTCCTCTCCATTTTCTTGGACCATTAGCTGTAATTTAACTTTAAGACAAAATACATGCATCATTGTACCCTGGGCTCTAACATTAGGAGAGTTTCTTCAGATGCAAGTGGACCCCATTCTTGGGTTTGAGGATAACCTGGGACAAGAAGACAAGAGGCCTGGTGGGGTCTGGAGTCACCTTGAAGCGGAGCAGAATCAAAGCAATGGCCACCTTTAACTCAGCCATGGCAAAATGCTGCCCGACGCAGTTCCTGCACACAGCGAGGGAAAGAAAGAGATAGGTGAGGAAACGCTGTTTCTCCCGACTCTTTAATGAGATACTAGAACAACAATTCTGATGTTAACAGTAAAGCAACAGTTTCACAGTAAATGCCATGGAAACTTCTGGACTTTGGACTATTGTTCCCTGCATGAATGTGAGCTGGGAGGCTCTAACATGACACCTTCCCTAAACAAGGTGGCCCTTGGATTTGTTCATAGATTGTGTCTCCTTGTGTCTCCTGTGAGGATCTAATGGAAAACATCATGACTATAGTTGACAACACTGCATTGTATAGTTGAAATTTGCTAAGAAAGTAGAACTTAAATGTTCTCACACACACACACAGAAAGATAAATATGTGAGTTGAAGGATGTGTTACTTAACTAGATGGAGAAGAATCCTTTGATAACATATATGTACAACAAATCATCACGATGCGCACTTTCAATATCTTATCATTTTATATGTCAATTATACTTCAATAAAGTTGAAATTTAAAAGAAAAGTATTTCTCCTGCATTAGGGGTGGACTGCATTGAGCCTATGAGCAACAGCTTGCATCCTGGGATGGCTTTCTGAGGCATGGCTGTATAGCGTGTGATAGAGAAGGGCGTTGTCGTTTGTGAAACTAACTGGACCTTTCAGGGGCTCACATAGGCACCAAGGTCTACCTCCTGGTCAGGTGAGAAGATGGGGTTCCGTGAAAGAATTTATAGAGCTGAGGGGCTAAAGGAAGAAAGCTGTTCTCGAGTAAACATTTTTGTGCTTTTTCAACAATTTCAAATTGTCCTCACCTTGGTCCAGCTGAGAATGGTAAGAAGGAGTGGGAGTGTCTCTGATCAGAATTCTCCTGGGAGAACCTCAAGGGGTCAAAGACCTGAAAGGAGAGGGCAACCCACCACCATATCCAGAACACCATTAACAAGTTTCTTAAGCTGTTACTTAGCACTGATGAACAGAAATATACTGTGAGCCATATATGTCATTTCAAATGTTCTGGTAGCCACATTTTAAAAAGGTGAAATTAATTTTAATAATAGAATTTACTCCTTTAACAGAAAATATCATCATTCAATATGTACTCAATATAAATAATTATTAAGGAAATATTTCAAACTTTTTGCACTACGTCTTCAAAATCCAGTGTGTAGTTTACATTTCCAGCTCATCTCAGTTCTGACTAGCCACTTTTCAAGTGCTCAATAGCCACGTGTGGCTAATGGCTACCACACTGGACAGAGCAACTCTAGACCGGCAGAGCTTGTCTGGCCTCCCAATGGACTAGTCTCCTACCCAGACTACGTAAGGGGAAAGCAGAAATACTATGGCCAGTGGAGTTATGTTCACGTTGGACGTAAGGGGGCACTCACTTAGACGTCAAGCCAAAGTGATTACGTGATCAGTTGTTACTGAGACACGTGGTCCAACTTCCCACTACATGTAATAGATCTTAAACCTCAGCAACTTATGTAAAAAGAAGTGTCTATACATGTTGTGAGTGTTTAATTTCAAGAACACTGAATCAAGGCACTCAGGTATGCTACACACATCTTCTTTTAGCCTCTCCAGATCCTCTCTCCTCCATTTCCCATCCTGCTCTGGGCTCTAAGAAGCTGACTCACATGGCCTCCTGTTGGGTTTGGCCAATAAAAGACATTTATAAGTGATCTAAAGGGAGGGAGGAGAGAACAGTTGGTTTGTTGATTCCCTGGTCCCCTCCCTACCAGGCTGCCTCAGGCTGGCTGCATGCTCTACTGAAGCCACACTCTTGTCTCATGGCCCTTCCCAGTAGCAGCCTCTCTCCTGTGTCCCATTGTCCAGCTTGAGCATGCCATCATTTCTGCCAGAATCCTGATTGTTACATCCAGCAAAGGGAGTTTGTCTTGCCTGAATTACTAGTAAGAGTCGACACTCTTGCTGATATCTAGGTAAGTGCTTGGTAAGCTCATTGAGTAAATGACTCATTTACAGACTGCAGCAATTTAGAGCAGCTCATGTGGCCTTATGGCAATCTGTTCACTCAAAGCAAAGATAAAGTAGGAATAGAGGAAGAGGAGAGTTTTCCTTTGGTGGAAAAGTTCTGCATTTTTGGTTTTTATGTTTATTTTTGTTTGCTTTGTGTCATTGGCCACTTCTGTGCACAGCTAACAAAAAATGACTTGCACAGCAAGTTTACCCATAAGACAGTCATACCTTTGGTTTTTTCCAGATGGCAGGGTTATGGTGAAGACCCCAAATACTGAGAACCACAGTTATTCCTGAGAAAGAAAGGCAATAAAGAGATTGCAGGAGAAGGAAAAAGCTGGGGCTGCTGTTATACGGCTCTTTAGTAAGACTTTTCTTCTTGAAGGAAAAGAGGAGGCTCCTGGCACAGCCCTGTGTGCTGTAGCTGATGCCAACAGTGAAGGACCCATGGGAACATGAGGCTTCGTGCACCTCAGTATTCAGAGCAGTGATCTATTTCATACATGATTCTAGCTCAAGGACCTATCGGTATCATGTCAAAATGATAACCCAGACTTATGTTTTCTGCTACCTCTAGATATTACTTATATATCTATTAATGGACTATAAAACACCCACTGGAGACAGTTTGGGTGCATAAGAAGAGAATCATAATTTCATCGTGCAGATCCAATGACAAGTTTCTGTTGGTGTTGTTTATGAATGGAAGCTGGGGAATTTTTGCAAATATCCATGTAATTGGGATATTAAAAAAAAAAAAAAAAAGACCAGAGGAGAGAGAATTTGAGGATTATTTGGTTACCATAAATAACTCTGGTAAGTTAATTCTGGATCTGTCAACAAAGTCACAGTAAGTGACAGGCTGTTGGTGTTTGCTACAAGCCATCCTGTCGGCTTGTTTCCAATGGCAAGAGTGAACAGAACACCAACCCAGATGTGTGAAGGCTGTCTCATGTGATCCCTCTGCCTCCCACTCGCCCTGCTCAGAAAGCTGTGTTCTTCTGATGAGCACAGGGCTCTGGGCACAGGACCACTATGTGAGTTCTAGCTCTGCTCATCTGCACGTTGGGGTCCCCAGTGGGTTTTGGCTACAGTGAAACTATTTGAAAGTGCTTTGTAAACTGCCAAGCACTGTACAGTGTCTGCTAAGATCATGTTCAAAGGGGAAAAATTGAGAGAATTTGTTTGAAGGCTGTCTGTAAACTATTAGGAGCTGCACACTTATAAGGGTGATACTATTATGATGAAGCCAAAGACCCTCCTTGGGTCTTCTAGACAAAGACAATGGTGCTCATCCCCCATGAAGTCTCCCCTGGGTCTCAAACTCAACCAAACAAGAATTAACTGAGAAACAATGTTCCATAACGGAAGAAACCCTGGGCTTGGATTCTGGTGACACAGGTTCTGGGCAGAGCTTTGCTGCAAATGCTATGTGCCTTCAGGGAAATCTCTGAAACCTACCTGATCAAAGCATTACCCACTGAGCTCTTAATAGATGTCCAACCCTAAGCCAGCTGTCCTTAGGATTGTCTTTTGACCCCTCCAAGGGTTGAGAAACCTGCTAGTCTTTGTGACTGTGGTCTCCAGGATCCCATGGTCTCTAGGAAGTGCTTAGGAAAAGAATGCAGAGACCTGCAGTCAAGGAGAGTCCATCTGGGAAGGTAATGGGCTTGCTGAGTTCTCTGGAAATGGATGGGACTGGAGGAGCCAATCGGAGTGACTCCTTGATGCACATTGTGGTGTATGACATCTCATCCAGCTGGTCCCTGTGAGGACAAGGGAGGGAGGGAGGAGAATTCAGACTCCATATGCAGTTTGCAAATACTGATAGTATTTTGTTTGTTCCTGGTAAATATCATCCTCAGGTTAAAGCTATTTTGCCAATTGGTTTATGTAACAGAACATCAAAATGGCACACTTTCTGCCTCCAGATCGGGTGAGGTCCCAGAGGAAGAGGAACCAACGGGTGCCAAATATTCTTATTATAAAGTGAGGCTGCTAAACTAATGGTAAAGTATTTGCTAAGCAGATTTCTGAAAACCAGTTTTGCCATCCTTAGCTCATCATATAAATCGAGAATGTATAAGGATTGAAGAGAGGAGGCTTAAGAGTTTTGAGAGGGAAAAAATCCTCTAAAAAGAATTATTGCATAATAAGAGAATACTATGAAAAGCTATACGCCAACAAATTGGATAATCTAGAAGAAATGGATAAATTCTTAGAAACATACAACCTTCCAAAACTGGACCAAGAAGATGTAGAAAATTTGAATAGACCGATCACCAGTAAGGAGATCGAAACAGCAATCAAAAACCTCCCAAAAAATAAAAGTCCAGGACCAGATGGATTCCCTGCTGAATTTACCAAACATTCAAAGAAGACTTAATACCTATCCTTCTCAAACTCTTCCAAAAAATTGAAGAGGGGAGGAGGCTTCCTAACTCCTTCTACAAAGCAAACATTATCCTGATACCAAAACCAGACAAGGACAACACAAAAAAAGAAAATTACAGGCCGATATCACTGATGAACATCAATGCAAAAATCCTCAACAAAATACTAGCAAATCGAATAACACAATATGTTAAAAAGATCATACCTCACAATCAAGCGGGTTTCATTCCAGGGATGCAGGGATGATTCAACATCCGCAAATCTATCAACGTGATACACCACATTAACAAAATCAAGAATAAAAATCACATGATCATCTCAATAGATGCAGAGAAAGCATTTGACAAGATACAGCATCCATTTATGATAAAAACTCTAAATAAAATGGGTATAGAAGGAAAATACCTCAACATAATAAAGGCCATATATGACAAACCCATGGCAAATATCATTCTCAATGGAGAAAAACCGAAAGCTATCCCTCTAAGAACAGGAACCAGACAAGGATGCCCACTGTCACCACTCTTATTTAACATAGTATTGGAAGTCCTAGCCAGAGCAATCAGGCAAGAAAAAGAAATAAAAGGGATCCACATTGGAAAAGAAGAAGTGAAACTGTCACTCTTTGCAGATGACATGATTTTGTATCTAGAAAACCCTAAAGAGTCCACTAAAAAACTTTTAGAAATAATAAAGGAACACAGTCAAGTCACGGGATACAAAATCAATGCACAAAAATCGGTTGCATTTCCATGCACTAACAACCAAGTAGCAGACAGAGAAATTAAGAATACAACCCCATTTACAATTGCAACAAAAAGAATAAAATACCTAGGAATAAACTTAACCAAAGAGGTAAAAGATCTGTACACCGAAAACTATAAAACATTGTTGAAAGAAATCGAAGAAGACACAAAGAAATGGAAAGATATTCTGTGCTCTTGGATTGGAAGAATTAACATCGTTAAAATGTCCATACTTCCTAAAGCAATCTATAGATTCAACGCAATCCCTATCAAAGTTCCAACAACATTTTTTACAGAAATAGAACAAAGAATCCTAAAATTTATATGGAACAACAAAAGACCCCGAATAGCCAAAGGATTCCTGAGAAAAAAGAACAAAGCTGGAGGTATCACAGTCCTTGATTTCAAATTATACTACAAAGCCATAGTAACCAAAACAGCATGGTACTGGCACAAAAACAGGCACATAGATCAATGGAACAGAATTGAGAGCCCAGAAGTAAACCCACACATTTATGGACAGCTAATATTCAACAAGGGAGCCAAGAGCATACGATGGAGAAAGGAGAGCCTCTTCAATAAACAGTGCTGGGAAAACTGGACAGCCACATGCAAAAGAATGAAAGTAGATCATTCCCTTACACCATGCACAAAAATCAACTCAAAATGGTTTAAAGACTTGAATGTAAGACCCGAAACCATGAGACTTCTAGAAGAAAACATAGGCAGTACACTCTATGACATTGGTCTGAGCAGCATATTTTCAAGTCCCATGTCTGACCGGGCAAGGGAAACAAAGGAAAAAATGAACAAATGGGGCTACATTAAACTCAAAAGCTTCTGCACAGCAAAGGAAACCATCAACAAAACGAAAAGACAACCTAACAATTGGGAGAAGATATTTGCAAACCATCTAACAGATAAGGGGTTAATATCCAAAATATAGAAAAGAACTAATACAGCTCAACAACAAAAAAAACAACAATCCAATTAGAAAATGGGCAAAAGATCTGAACAGAGATTTCTCCAAAGAAGATATACAGATGGCCAACAGGCATATGAAAGATGCCCAACATCATTAGCTATCAGGGAAATGCAAACCAAAACTACAATGTGGTATCACCTCACTCCGGTCAGAATGGCTATAATTAACAAAACAGGAAACAACAAATGTTGGAGAGGGTGTGGAGAGAAGGGAACCCTTGTTCACTGCTGGTGGCAGTGCAAACTGGTATAGCCACTATGGAAAGCAGTATGGAGTATCCTCAGAAAATTAAGGATAGATCTACCATATGATTGAGCTATTCCACTGCTGGGTATTTATCCAAAGAACTTGAAAACACAAAGGCATAAAGATACTTGCACCCCTATGTTCATTGCAGCATTATACACAATAGCCAAGACATGGAAGCAACCTAGGTGCCCATGATGGGACGAATGGATAAAGAAGATGTGGTATTTATACACGATGGACTACTACTCAGCCATAAGAAATGATGAAATCCGGCCATTTGTGACAACATGGATGGACCTTGAGGGTATTATGCTGAGTGAAATAAGTCAGAGGGAGAAAGTCAAATACCATATGATCTCAATCATAAGTAGAAGATAAAAACAATGACAAAAAAAACACATAGCATTGGAAATTGGACTGGTGGTTACCATTGGGGAAGGGGAGTGGGGGGAGGGCAAAAGGGGTGATTAGGCTCACATGTGAGGGGATGGACTATAATTAGTGTTTGGGTGGTGAACATGATATAATGTACACAGAATTCGAAATATGATGTACATCCAATAAAAATAAAAATAAAATAAAATAAATAAAAAAGAATTATTGTAATGCCAAGTGCCATGAAGAATTGAAGAGGGTACTTCCTCCCGTGTTAAGTAAAGGGGGGCTTCAGACGGGTCACGATGATCTGACATGTGCTCCCTGGAGATTGGGGAACATAATACAGATAGGAAATGCTGTGAATCAGAACAGACAGAGAGGCAGGGGAAAGTTGCAGGACAAGGCAGGAATGCCCCAGTGTGTCCTGTGGGCCAATGAACCCACAGGAGGAAGCGCTCCGGGACCAGCTTGAAAGGAACTCTGACCTAGGACAAGAATTCTCTTGCCCCATGAATCACCATGGCAAAGTCCCAATGAGGGAATCTCCAGGAAAACCGTGGACACTCTCATCGAGAGTAAAAGGAAGCACTGCCTATCCACCAAGCTCAGAGGGCAAGATCATGACAGTACCAGCTCCTTTCTCCTTATCCTCTCTCCCTCATGGACCCTTTCTAGAAGGGTCAGAAACAGCAGCTACTGGGCAGGGCACGAGCTGGTCAGTAAGAAGCCAACCACAACCCCTTACCCACCCCTGGCTTCTAGACCCAAAGATGTACCGAGCTGGGTGGAGGGAGACGCTCCAAGTGGATGAGAACTTGAGGTTTACATTAAGACACTGGACCAGACGGCCTAATTACTGAAATGAGGCTGCTCTTGTGATTTCAATGGATGGCAACTCTATGAGATTCACTCAAGATTACACCCCGGAGATGAAAAGAACTTGTTCCCCACAGCAAGTGTGAAGTGCCAGCAGGAGAAGAATAAAGTTTTCTATTTGCTTCCTAGCTGGTCAGGTTGGTTCAATAAAATGACTGCATGTATTCAGTCTATTTGCTTTATTCTATTTCTATTTGCTTTTCTGATTACTCACTGTGAATGTAGACTTTGTCCATAAGTTAATGCGAAATTTTAATTTTGAACTCTTTCCTCCTCAAGCACAGAATAAAAAGAATAATTCTGCTTAGCCTGGCACTTTGCATATTTAAGAAAAACAATGTTCTCCATCTCAGCCGTGGTGCAAAAAGAAGACAGGAATTTGAACCAAAAGCAGAAACGGGCTAACAAGGAGCCAAACGGAGACGTGGAACAACTTTCCAGCTTTTATAGAAATTGCTCTTTGCATTGTGTTTTTATTATCTGTGTAAAAGAATTACAAATTCTCAGAATGATATGTACAAATTTCATTAAACATAACTATAAGGCCATATTATAGCATAAAAATATATTTTATTCTCTGTAATATTGTTGCCATTTCTCTCATTAAAATAAATGGTAGTTAACAGATTGGAATTTGCTTTCTCACCTGGCAAAGATATCTTTATTCCTTTCACATTTCACAGAGGCCAAACAAGAATGAGAAAGGTCAATATTTGAGTTATATATACACTCATCCTAATCAAGGTTAAAGTATCTAATTAATATTGGGAGGTGATAAACAGTGTTTCCAAACTCAATGAATGAATACAAAATGACTAATCAACACTGCGTTTTGTGCTATATGGATTAGGAAATGTCTATTATTTCCTCATAGAAAGTGAGATCTCTACTATACCTATAAATTTAAATTTTCCTTTATAAATGTTCTAACCGAGCTGATCTTTGCATTAGAAATATGGTGCTTTCCCACTAGTCATGGGACTGGTTGCCTTAGAAGTACCTTAGCACTTCTGTCTTTCTGCCCCTCTCACCAGCAAAACGATGATATGCGAAATATCGACCTGAGGTGCAGAGTGCGGTTTACATCAGGGACACATGATTTCTCTGCAAACAGCATGTCTGAGAGGCAAATCTTTAATCTGGGCTTCATTAACAGCAAGATATGCTCAAAGTCTAGCAAAGGCAGTTGAAGTTTTCCACCTGGCTAACTCCCACCAATCCTGTAAGAGGCAGCTAATGGCAGCTCTCCCAGGGAGTCTCCTTGAGCCCCCCACGCCAGCTTAGGTGCCTGTCTTCTAAGTCTCTGTGGAGCCAGCACATATCTCTCTCATCATCCTCACCATGTTATACTGCAGTTATCTGCATGGGGCCTGGCTCCTATCCTAGAGCATGAGCTTGTTGAGGGCAGGACCCACACCAAATCTGGTACATTTTTTTTAGTGCCTCAGTACTCAAAATGTCCTCAATCCATATTTGCTAAACTCAACTACAATGTATATCATTTAGTACTACATTCAAAGTCCAAAGCCAATCCAAACAAGTGAACGAGGGGATGGGAGAGAATGTCCACAATGAGGCTTAAATGATGCAGATGCCCACTCAGGTCCCTCAGAAGAGGAGCCCACTTGAGCCCAACCATTCAAACTCTAAATGCAAGTCTAGGGATCAAGTCCCCATTTCCAATGCATGAGAGCCTGGAGGAAAGAAATAAATAGGACATTTTACACATCACTGATTAGAAAAACAATGAAATAGACAACTTACAGATGAGTGAACTTTTGCAAAAGATAAGTTTGGGGCCTTCTAGAAAAAGAGCAGAATGGTAGCCTGCCTCTTCTGCTTCCACATACATACGTCTTGATGTACTATGGTTACCCAGGTACAACAGGGAAGAATAAAGCAAAGTCCCGGGAGGAGAAGTAGGATGAAATGTTTAGGGATGCAGATCTTACCAGGTAATGGAAGACCCATCTCCCAGGATGCTCCTGATCTCCTCCCGGCATCTCTCCTGATGCTCAGGGTTCAGAGCCAGGTGGTAGAGGAGCCAGGAAATGGCCCCTGGCATGGTGTCCTGCCCTGCCAACAAGAATGTGTTCACCTCGGACCGCAGGTCAGTGTCTGAGAAGCTGTCACGATTTTCAGCCTAGAAAGTACAAGGGAGGTATTTTTATACAATGTCAGTTTATAGATGTTTGGAGCCCCGATCAAAATAGCGGTTTTAGGAAAAACATTAGAGTTTCAAATGAGAGTTTCAATTTTAATTCAGTTCAACAAATATATACTAAGAGCCACACTTTATCCAGAGCATGAAGGAGAATAACATTACATAAGGAAAGCAAGCCTTGCAAAGAGTTCTTCCACTCATCCTGCCCAAATTATCCAGGTTTTCCAGCACCTCCTCCTCAGCATTTTACCAGCTTTCCCTGTGACCCATTCTCCTGTGCTTCCCTGAACTACCATGTGTCTTTATGATAATCCAAATCCTGTCAAATCAGGAGAAAATTCAGTGTTATCTGGCTCCACCGAGTAACAAAGTTGCAGAATTCTATCTTTATCTCAAACTGTATGGAGCCAGTCCATCAATTCCAAAGTAGAGTTAGATTTAGGTGATCAATTTTGCTTGTGGCCCTCCTCCTCCCCACTCATCCACCTATTCACACAATTAAGTAGATAGCTGAGCAGGCTCAGAAATTTGAAAGATTTACCTGGACAGAAAGGACAACATCCAGAAAATCCTGGTGCTTCCTCTTCTGAGTGTTATCCTGCCTCTTCTCTTCCTCGAGGGCTTTCTTTCTATCCTGGATTGCCTTTTCTGGAGTGGAATAAAAGTGACAACACAATCAAAGAAAAACAAATTACAGAGCAAGCCATATCCCATGAACAGCTTCAAATCTTGCCTAATTTCTGGAAGTTTTATTATATTTAGATAGATTTAATTTTTAAAGATGTTTATTTTCCCATCAAATGACAACCATTGATCAAAGCTCCAAAGACAAACACAACAGACCAAAAATGTACTTCATACAACTAGATAGGCAATATAATTAAGATGATTTCAAATTTAGGTGCAAATGACCAATCATTCTCTTCTTTCTAAGGCAAATATCTCATTTTCATGGGAAAGTTATCAAATGAAATGGAGTAAAATGGAACACAGGTAAAGATATGCCAACATATGTATAATTGATGGGGCTTATAGCACAAACAAAAATGTGGAACAGAACATTTAAAACAATAATCCAAGAGACCTTTCTGGAATAAGAGAAAATTCAAATCTACATATTAAAGGGTACACCCTATGCCTAAAAAATTGGAACAGAATAACCAATTGCAATATATAGCCTAGTAAAACTATTTGACATTAAAGACAGAGAGTAGAAAATCCTCAGAGACTCCAAATAAAAGACTAAATGACTTTTAAGGGTAAGAAAATTAGGCTAGCACCATACTTCTCAAATACAATAAAAAAGCCAAGACAAGATTAGAGCATTTTCAAGAAAATCAAGGAAACAAAATGTGAGATAAGTATTTTATATCCAGCAAAATTGTCCTCTGAACATCAAGTATACTGAAAAACAGTTATCAACTCGCATGAACTCAGAAAATATTACATCCATGAGCCCATATTGAGGAATCTATAGTGGATGAGTTTCATCCAATGAAGAGAGGAATGGAAAATTTCATAGATTTAATTCTAGATCTCAGACTAATATAAGGATAGGTACATGGGCAGACTAATAACACATAAACATTAAAAATGAAAATAATGCAACTAAAATTAGGGGGAGTAGAGGGAGAGAGGGGAAAGTAGAATAAGAAACCTAATAGCTGTCCAGGTGAGAAATAAAAATCACAAGATGTCATTAAAAACTGACAGACCAGGGGGCTGGCCCCGTGGCCGAGTGGTTAAGTTCGCGCGCTCCGCTGCAGGCGGCCCAGTGTTTCGTTGGTTCGAATCCTGGGCGCGGACATGGTACTGCTCATCAAACCACACTGAGGCAGCGTCCCACATGCCACAACTAGAAGGACCCACGACGAAGAATATACAACTATGTACCGGGGGGCTTTGGGGAGAAAGAGGAAAAAAATAAAATCTTTAAAAAAAAAAAAAAAAATGAAAGCTATAACAAAAAAAAAAAAAAAAAAACTGACAGACCATCAACCACAGTCCCCAAAGGACAAGTACTGTATGGCTCCCCATACACGACATAACTAAGTACCTAGTCAACTTCATAGACAGAAAGTAGAACAGGGGTTGCCAGGGGCTGAGGGGGGAGTGGAATGAAGAGTTATTGTTTGGTGGGTATGGAGCTTCAGTTTTGCAAGATGAAAAGAGTTCTGGAGATGGACAGTGGTGATGGTTGTACAGCAATGTGAATGTACTTAGTAGCACTGAACTGTACACGTAAAAAAGATGAAGGTGGTAAATGTTATGTTGTGTGTATTTTATCACAATATAAAGTACTGATCAACCAGATAGCAAAAGATTAAATAAGGAAAAATGGGATTAAGGATCTATGAAATGACTAAATACTACAATAGACATAGAACAAAAATATAAACCTTCTTAAATGTCAAAAGGTATTACATTTAAAAAGAGCAAAGAAGACATACCACGTAGAAAAAAAAACACGGCACACTGTCCCCCCAAAATTCACGTCCACCCAAAACCTATGAATGTAGCCTTACTGGAAATAGGGTCTTTACAGATGTAATCAAACTAAGACGATGCCATATAGGGTTAGGGTGGGACCTAATACAATGACTGGTATCCTTTTAAGAGGAAGAAATTTGGACACAGACCCTGCTATAGACTGAGTGTTCATGTCCTCCTAAAATTCATACGTTGAAATCTAATCCCCAATGCGACAGTATTTGCAGGTGAAATATTTGGGAGGTGATTAGGTCATGAAGTCATTGTTTCTAAGCCACTCAGTCTGTGATATTCTACTTTACCACCCCAGATGGACTAAGATAGGCACACAGAGGGAAGACAACCACAGGAAGACAGAGGCAGAAATGAGAGTGAAACAGCTGCAAGCCAAGGAATGCCAAGGATTACCTGCAACCACCAGAAGGTAGGAAGAGGCGAGGAAGGATTCTTTCCTAGAGCCTTCAAGAGGGATCATGCACCTGCCAACACCTTGATTTTGGACACCTAGCCTCCAGAACTGTGAGAGAATGAACTGTTGTTGTTTTAAGCCACCAAGTCTGTGGTTACTCGTTATAGAAGCCCTAGGGAACTAACACACACACTAATTATAACAGAATACACATAGGAAAACATTATAACACGACAATGTTGAGATCAAACATGTCAATCATTTCAATAAATAAGGATGAGAATGACTAGCTTACTAAAATAAAAAGATTTTCAAATTGGTTCAAAAAGCAAAACTCAAAAAGGTTCTACAGGGGCCAGCCCCGTAGCCGAGTGGTTAAATTCACGTGTTCTGCTTCGGCAGCCCAGGGTTTCGCTGGTTCGGATCCTGGGTGCAGACATGGCACCGCTTGTCAGGCCATGCTGAGGCGGCGTCCCACATGCCACAACTAGAAGGACCCACAACTAAAAAATATGCGACTATGTACTAGGGGGATTTGGGGAGAAAAAGCAGGAAAAAAAAAAGAACATTGGAAACAATCATTAGCTCCAGTGCCAATCTTTAAGAAAAAAAAAATGTTCTACATATAAGAAAAACACATAAAACAAAGTAATTCAAAACAGGTAAAAATAAAGGCATGAACAAGGATATACCAGGCAAGTGGAAATGACAAGAAAGCAGGAGTTGCAATCCTGAAATCAGACAAAGGAGAATTTGAGCAAAAACTCATTAAACAAGGTCAGTTTCTAATGCTAAAAGTCATGAAATCACAAGATAGAACAGTTATGAACATATACTCAAACCACAAACATGGCAGTACTTATTTAAAGCAGAAACTACAAGAGATACAAGGGAAAATAGCCAGAATCACATGAATAATAGGAGTCTTTAACATACTGCTTTCAGAACAGGACATGCCTAGTGGATGAAAATAAGATATAGAAGATCAAAACAAAATAAAAAGCAGAACATACAGGGAGAAATATCAACCACCATACCTAATAGAGAGTATATCTTCTTCTCAAGAGCACACGGAAAATTTACAAAAATTCATCATATATTAAATCAAAAGCATCATGGGCCAGCCCCAGTGGCCTAGTAGTTAAGTTTAGCATGCTTCGCTTCAGTGGCCTAGGTTCGGTTCCAAGGCATGGACCTACACCATTCTGTTAGCAGCCATGCTGTGTTGGCAGCCCACACTAAAAAAAAAAAATAGAGGAAGATTGGCATGGACGTTAGCTCAGGGAGATCTTCTTCAGCAAAAAAAAAAAAAGACAGAGAGAGAGGAAAAAAAAAATCATTAGTAAGTTCCATAAAGGGGAAATAGTAAAAACAATGTTCTCTAATTGCAATAAAACTAGAAAGTTTTAAAGATCAAAAAATAAAAAGCCTTTGCACCTAGAAATTTGTAAACCTTCTATTAAATACCTTTACGGTGAAAGGGAAATACAAACAGAAATTACAGAATTTCTGAAAAAAACAATGATACTGGAAAATTTACTTATCAAAATACATGAGATATATTTAATCAGTGAACAAAAGAAAATTTATAGCCTTAAAAATTAACAATAAAAAACAGAAAAAAACCATCCTAAAATTCTGATGGAATCAAGGGACCCCAAATAGCCAAAACAATCTTGAAAAAGAAGAACAAAACTGAAGGACTCACATTTCCTAAGTTCAAAACTTACTACAAAGCTACAGTGCCCAAAACAGTGTGATACTGGCATAAAGACAGACATATACCATATATAAGTAGAATATGTGAATAGAATAGAGAGTGCAGAGATAAACCCTGGCATGTATGGTTAAATGACTTTTGACAAGGGTGCCAAGACTATTCAATGAAAAAAGGACAATCTTTTCAACAAATGGTGCTGGGAAAACTGGACATCCACATGTAAGAAAAAGAATCTAGACATAGATCTCACCTCTTTCACAAACATTAACTTAAAATGGATCATAGACCTAAATGTAAAAACACAAAACATCTAGAAAATAACACAGACGGAAACCTATGTGGCCTTGGGTTTGGCAATAACTTTTTAGATACAACACCAAAAGCATGATTCATGAGAGAAAAAATTGACAAACTGGACTTCACTAAAATTCAAAACTGCTCAGCAAAAGACAGATTTAAGAGAATAAAAAGACAAGCCACATTTTGGGAGAAAATATTTGCAAAAGACGCTTCTGATAAAGGATTGTTATCCAAAATATACAAAGAACTCTTAAAACTCAACAATAAGAAAAAAAGCAACCTGATTAAAAACTGGACCTAAGACTTTAACAGACACCTCACCAAAGAAGATACACAGATAGTAAATAAGCATACGAAACGATGTTCCACATCATATGCCATGAAAGTGATGCAAATTAAAAACCACAATGAGATACCGCTACACATCTATTAGAATGGCCAAAATCCAGAGCACCGGCAACACCAAATGCTAGCAATGATGTGGAGGGACAGAACTGTTCATTCATTGCTGGCAGGAAGGCAAAATGGTAATGCCATGGTGGAAGACAATTTGGTGGATTCTTACAAAACTAAACATTTTCTTACCATACTATCCAGCAATCATGCTCCTTCGAATTTACCCAAAGAAGTTGAAAACTGATGTCCACACAAAAACTTGTACACAAACACTTATAGCAGCTTTATTCAAAACTGCCAAAACTTGGAAGCAACCAAGATGTCCTTCAATAG